AGCCTTGCTTTAGGTAAATCTGCACAAGGCCTCTGGGGTTTAAATGGAGAGAAAATGTTTTGAGAAACAATGTACAAATGAGCTTTACACAATTGATGTGTGTATGGATTGGGATAACAGTTGTGTGAGCCCCTAATAAAATGTTAAAAAAATAAATAAATAAATAAAAAGAAAATAAGAAGGAAAAAAAAAGAAAAAAAAAAAAAGATAAGCCCTGTTATCAGACAGAAAGCATGAGAAAGTCAATTATGGCAGATGCAGTTAAGTCAAAATGTACTATCTTATCATTTGATCTCCCTTCTGACCATTTTTAAAGCTGTTTTTGTTGTTGTTTTTAAGTGAAGGGAAATACATGTGGATTAAGCCCCTGATGAATCCCCTCTGACCATGAACCAGGGATGTGAATAGCCTTGCTGTCAGACAAAACATATTTTAAAGTCAATTATGGCAGATGCAGTTAAGTCAAAATGTACTATCTTATCATTTGATCTCCCTTCTGACCATTTTTAAAGCTGTTTCAGGGGTTTTGTTTTTTGTTTTTTAAGTGAAGGCAATGCCCAGCTACCAAAAGATATAGCATCTGGGGTCTTAAAAGCTTGAAGTTAAACAAGCGGCCACCTAGCAGAGAAGCAACTGGCATTAGAAGAAAGACCCCAAACAAACAAACATATTGTTGAGAATGAGGGGGGCTGGAGCAGAGACCCAAAACCCATCCATAGACAGTGGAGCATCCCCTCACAGAAGGGTCACAAGGAAGGGATGAGTCAGTCAGGGTGCAGTATAGCACTGATGAAAGACACAATATTCTTCTGGCTGCTTGAGGCTTCCTCACCCCCTGCTATCATGACCCCAGTCCTACCTTTCACTGTGGGCTAGGCTGTAGCATGTGCACAGGTACAGATAAGAGCTCACAACACATGGAATCCAGATCAGATAAAGCCCTCAAGAACAGAAATGGGAGTAGTGATACCAGGAGTGTAGGTGGAAGGTGGGGAGAGGAGGGGAGAAAGAGAGAACCAATCACAATGATTAACACATAACCACCACCCCCACCCCTCTACCCCCAGGGAGGTGAACAACAGAAACTGTGGGGGAAGGGAGACAGCGGTCAGTGTAAGATATGAAAATAATAATAATTTATAATTAAGGGCTCACGAGGCCGG